AATTCAACTGAATATTCATTTCGTAAAATGCTTAAAAGCGTGTCTGTGAAAAAGACAGTTATGAGGCTATGTCAGGTGTTGCCTACATGGTTAATTTCTCGGTAATGCTTTTTCAGAGATTTTTTTTTTCAAAACTCCGGATCCGGAAATTGAAACCGACAGCGAACATTTCTAAATAAGTCACAGGTACTTGTTACTCTAAAGACGTACAAAACACAGTGCGTATTTGCATTGTCCATATAAACGTGAATATTGCGGAAGTTAAAAATTGTATATACTGGAAATCAATCTTTTTTGCGAGTGATAAGTTTTCGTGTTTAATTCTCGAAGACACATAATCGCGAATTCAAATTTTCCGATTAATTCTATTTGCAATAACTGTTTATATTGAAACGTCATCCCCTTAATCGCGATTCCATGTGTTCGCGAATAAATACTACAGGCAAAGCTCGCGAAATGAAGTACCCGCGAAAGTCTGGAAGACTGGATTTATTTTTCCAACTGATTAAGGAAATGGCAGCGATCAACTTACTTGGTAAAAAGCGGATTACGAAGAATTATTTTATAGCCTAACTTAAACGGTAATTCTCTCAATAACATTAAAAAGAGCAAATCTAGTTAAGAGTAACGAGACACTAAGACTTTAATCTTCCACTTACCGAGACCAAAATTGGACAATTAAATGTTCGTTTTACAAGAAAATGTGTACAGTGTATGTATTGACAAAATAGATGGGAAAGTTTTACAAAATGAAACCTACGTTACATGTCTATGTGACATCTGATGGTTTGGATGCCGTGAGAGGGGTGCTTTATGACTACCTATTACCTATACCGAAACATGGTACTTTAGATAATAGCGATCCATTTAGCTATAATGGAGATTCGCTATTATGGCAATGTCTAGCCAAGTATATTAAGTAATTATAAATGTATCCGGAAACTACTGCGATATTGACATATGACAAAAAGGATTCTGAAAACCAACATTAGGCGAAGAAGATGTTTATACTGTTTACAAAACATGTCAATAATCGTTAATTTCACGGGAAAAGTACGTCCACGTGTTTGGTTGACGCAAACGGGCGTTTAACACTGCAAATGGAAATGGATTGTCTCTATAATTCGAGTTTCGACAGATCGACAGGAGTGTACATTGTTCAAGACAACTCCCGACACGGCTTCGTTACAAAAACTACTTACTCTGTTATCGAGCATGTGTTCTGTAAGAGGTTGTAGATTGTGGTTAACGAACAGAAAACAATGATTCTCCAGTGCATGAACCGTCGATAATGAGCTCACCACTCCAATTCAAATGTTCTGGTGTATCTTGGGATTATTCCGGTGATTATAATTACACAGACCCGTGGTGTAATGAACATCTATCTATACGGTAATCCGAATTGAGTAGCTATAGAAACCACATAGAACGGCTCTTCCGGCAATTTAGTCAATGGTTTATGTTAGATGGAGGAATGACTTTGGTCATGGGTTCAAGTGAAAAAAGGAACATCCGGTCAGCTTACTGTATATATACAGCTTGTTGTTAAGGTACATAATATATGTTTACATTCATACCTGGCTTACACGAGGATTCCGGAGAAAAACATATGACTAGAACTAAAAAAAGGATGCGTGTATTATGAATGGTGATTGTTTGAAGTAATATTTACTTAGAATGCATGTTTCAGCATCGCATATAGTGTAAATAGTACTTCACTATTGAATTAAATTTCACCTTAAAATATTTGATTGTACAGGTCAAATATTATCATTAGGCGCGGTAGTCTAGTGGAGCCGCGGTAGTTTAGTGGTTGGACGACGGGCTCGTGACCGGGGTTGCGGGTTCTAGTCACGGCATAGCACTGTGTTTTATCTTTGAGCAAGATGCCTTTTTTCCGCTTATTCCAGTCTACACAGCTGTAAATGAGTACGTGGCTGGGCAGTGCTAGAATTGTAGAATGCTAGCTGTGAGCTCCGAAATGGCAGCACCGGCGTATGCTCCGCAGGGAGTCGAGAAAGCTATTGGCTTGTTGCAAAGGCCCTATAACCACGGATAATAATTTGTGAACCGCTTTGAGACGACCTACGAGCTAAGTTGTGATAAAGCGGTATAAAAGGACGTCAAATTATTATTACTATTATTATTATTACAGATCTTACGTACATATAAATGTAGTTGGGTAAATTCCATGGGCAAATACAGCCCTCACGTTGAACTGCTAAACTGTGACGTCACATAACGAAAGTGTAACTATGGAAACAATGATATTACGAAGATAATTAACACATTTCACTTAATGTAAAAGGTACCACAGCATCAATTTTAATCGCTAAGATGGGTTCCATCCAACGTTTTTTGACTTGGAGTAATCTCCCCTCTATACATGGTGCAGCAATCTAAAGAAGGGTTTCTTCCTTAGAGTGACTTACCTTGTCAACTGTTTTTTTCACGTACTTCGTGGCCCATAAATTGGACACTGATTTTGATACTTTGCTTGTATAATTCCTGAATGGCAATATTGGTAAAGTGTAGCATTTGTAACATAAAAATCCCGAGTTTGACTCCAGCAGTTTCGTGTTGCTTTTCTTTTTTAAATAAAATTATTTTTCTTTTTTCAAACAGTCAAATTTCGAACAGCTCAAATTCTGTCAAATACATTTCAACATGTGATTTTTATGAAACTTTTCTTTAGAAAAGGTCATAAATGCATATTTTACAGTAGTTACATTGGTACATGCAATAATACATTTAGTCAGTATAATGTATATCTGTAAATCGACATAGAATTCTATGTATCTCAATGGATGTAGATAATTTTTATCTTAAATCGATAAAAATCAGTATTTTCAATATATTTTTTAATTGTCGTATAAGTCAGTTGTATGATGTAAAGATTATTATTCCATTAATGTATATAAGACCCAACATTCAGACTCCCTGCAAAATCGGGGATTTCTTCTGTATCTTCTGCTTGGGGAGATTGGAGAGACCAAAATTGATCTGCTGTCCCCGTGACAATGCTTGGTACCCATATCTCTTCTTTTCTCTCCGATGCATTATTCATTTTCCCCGTCGGCACGTCCTGTTATCCCGCTGTCAGGCGGATATGACAGAGAGGAGTTTCATACTAACGTGTCAGATTGGTGATATTATTGTTTTTCAGTGAACGACATAGTCGTCATATGACATTCACTGTAACAACGCAATCAATGTACATACTCAAACTTAAGTCCTCATACTCAAACTCAAGCCTTCATACTCTAACTCAAGTCATCATACTCAAACTTTAGTCATCAAACTCAAAATCAAGCCTTTATACTCAAACTTAGTTCCTCATACTAAAACTTAAGTCATCATACTCAAACTCAAGTCTTCAGACTCAAACTCAAGTCATCATACTCAAACTTTAGTCATCATACTCAAACTCAAGTCATCATACTCAAACTTAAGTCATCAAACTCAACCTTTAGCCATCATACTCAAACTTAGTTCCTAATACTCAACCTTAGTCTTTATACTCAAACTCAAGTCATCATACTCGAACTCAAGTCATCATACTCAAACTTAAGTCCTCATACTCAAACTTTAGTCATCATACTCAAACTTAGTTCCTAATACTCAAACTCAAGTCATCATACTCAAACTCAAGTCCTCATACTCAAACTCAAGTTATCATACTCAAACTTAAGTCCTCATACTCAAACTTTAGTCATCAAACTCAAACTTAAGTCATCATACTCAAACTTTAGTCATCATACTCAAACTCAAGTCATCATACTCAAACTTTGGTCATCATACTCAAACTTAAGTCCTCATACTCAAACTCAAGTCATCATACTCAAACTTTAGTCATCATACTCAAACTCAAGTCATCATACTCAAACTTAGTTCCTCATACTAAAACTTAAGTCATCATACTCAAACTCAAGCCTTTGTACTCAAACTCAAGTCATCATACTCAAACTTTAGTCATCATACTCAACCTAAGTCTCCAAACTCAAACTCAAGTCATCATACTCAAACTTTAGTCATCATACTCAAACTCAAGTCATCATACTCAAACTTTAGTCATCATACACAAACTCAAGCCTTTATACTCAAATTCAAGTCATCATACTCAAACTTTAGTCATCATACTCAAACTTAAGTCCTCATACTCAAACTCAAATCATCATACTCAAACTTTAGTCATCATACTCAAACTCAAGTCCTCATACTCAAACTTTAGTCATCATACACAAACTCAAGCCTTTATACTCAAACTCAAGTCATCATACTCAAACTTTACTCATCATACTCAAACTTAAGTCCTCATACTCAAACTCAAGTCATTATTCTCAAACTTAAGTCCTCATACTCAACCTCAAGTCCTCATACTCAAACTTTAGTTCCTCATACTCAAACTCAGGTCATCATACACAAACTCAAGCCTTTATACTCAAACTCAAGTCATCATACTCAAACTTAAGTCATCATACTCAAACTTTAGTCATCATACTCAAACTTTAGTCATCATACTTAAACTCCAGCCTTTATACTCAAACTTATTTCCTCATACTCAAACTCAAGTCATCATACTCAAACTTTAGTCATCATACTCAAACTCAAGCCTTTATACTCAAACTTAGTTCCTCATACTCAAACTCAAGCCTTTATACTCAAACTCAAGTCATCATACTCAAACTTAAGTCATCATACTCAAACTTTAGTCATCATACTCAAACCTAAGTCATCATACTCAAACTCAAGTCTTCAGACTCAAACTTTAGTCCTCATACTCAAACTCAAGTCTTCATACTTAAACTATAGTTATAATGCTTGCAATAGGTGACGGAATGGAAGAGTAAATATCAAAATGAAACTGTTACCCAGCTACTAAAAATATGAAACATTATTCAACGGTATTTGTGAGCTGGACTTGGAATAGTACTTGGCCGCAAAAACTGACTTTGTGCATGAGGACGGTTTCGTGAATCAGACCAAGATGTTTTATCAATATTTACGCATAACTTTATTAATAAATCAGCAATTTCAAAGACAACAAAATCTAATAGTACTATATTGGATAAAACATATATTAGACTCTTGTCGTATTACACAAAATAGGGAAATTCAATTAATCTGGAAATTTAAATTAAGATTCACGATATTTTAAATCTCAGAAGGCTCTGCAGGTTCCACGGTGGGAACGTTGTCAGATGTAGTAGAACAAGATATGAAATTCCTAATAGAATTCCGGAATCTTGCTAACCGTTGGTTTCTAATTTCAGAATCCCTCCTTGGTATGTCGACAGCAATTCCGGAATCATCCGACATTAGTCGAGTTTTTTGTTTCTTAGGAGATGGGGTCATGTTATGTGGTTTTGCGCATGCCTCGTTGTCCTTTTCCTCTGTTGTGAAGGTATTATCTGTCAAAGGAAATCGAAAGAGTTTAAATGAAGCCGTACAATTTGTATCAGTAATTATTTTGGGATGCCATATAGTGATGCGTCATCTTTCAATGCGACACAAATAAACGTGCAGTGAGCTATAAGGAATTACCAGCATCTGACAGGTATGGATCTTTCCGGTGTGTGTTCCTGTCGGATGTACTTTGTGTTCATTAAAGTAAATTGACGTTACTTAGTGCATTATGGCGGCACAAAATCAGATAGTTTTTTTTCTAATTCAAAGCAATTAAGCGAAGCTTAAAATGTTCGACAGTAGTCATATGCACTTTTCATTCCTGATTTCATTTTCCCCAGTGGTAATTACTTAAATAATGTAATGGCTGCGATCAAACAGTAATGGTCTTAGGCTGTTAAATAACAGGATAAACACAGGAAATACCCTGCGCAGATTGTATCAACACGTTCGATATCATCCTGACACAAAGCAACTCGGAATTGATATGAAAAAGGAAGGAATCGAATAGACAACAAAACAATAGGTAAAACAACTTGAACCAAACAAAATGCTTGGAGGCAAAATCAGGATTTAAGCAAAAAAGTGTCTTGTTAACCTGTCAGGATTTCCCACCGTCAAATCTAGAAAAAAAATTGTCCGTCATCAACGAATAAAGGCAATGTTATTATGCCTGACATTTAAATATCATATTAAAAAATCAGGTGAAGATGTTTCAGACATATCACAAAAGCGACTGAAAGTGTCACCAAACACGATAAAGATATTAAAGCCATAGGTTTGACATGAACTGTGGCGATGTATCATCCAAATAGGTCAAAACATAGTAGTAACACATTTTCATATCTCTGTGATCGCATGTATCGTTATTGGGAATGGCTTTTATTTCTGAAAGTTGTGAAAGCTGAAACCCCGAAAACTTGTAATATTACGTTAAACGACTCAGTTTAGCTCCAAATATAACTGCAATAAATTCCCATGGTAAAAGAGCTGTAAGTCACTCGAATAACTGGTTTGCGAGATACAAAGTTTTGCATGAGTTCAAAATTAAATGAAGAATTCAATCGCAAATTCATATAAATCACAAAGTAAAATTAATCTTAAATGTTTAATCTACCACGTTTAAATAATTGTGATTTATATGTTATTGTTAATTTTGCGAATATAGATTGTTGCGAAACCGTCGGCCATAGAACAATGGTGAAAAACATATTCGCAGAAATTAAACTATTTGCAGTATTATGAGTGGTTTCAGGTATCTCCGTACCACTGATGGATGCAAACATAAGTGTACCGATATTGGCTTCAAAAATCAGTATATCGATAATGGCTTCAGGAACTCGTGTTCCAGGAATGGCTATGCACAAAGAATAACTACTGAACTATGTACATAAAAAATATCTACATATATTGTAAACTATATACTGTAAATATACTAATTTTAGCGCATTAACGGATTTTAACCGTTAAGCGCATTGATGGCTTAGCAAAGCAACATAATATTCAAAAGAGAACAATGCGCAGGAAGTCCAAATGGCATATTATTATTCAGCGCAATTTCCGAAGCGCGAAATGTGCTAAAATAAGACTACCGCGAAAAGGTGTATGTTTACAGAATACCAACATTTTAATGACGAAATATATCTGATATTTTGTGGATTTATATAAAATATATAAAATATTAAATGTTAAAATGTCAATAATATTGATTATTATGTTACTTCGGTAACACATGGATATTGTTCTCGAACATTCTCACCTGTGCTCTTCCTTTTCCGGAAGAAATCAGCAATGCTTCTTTTTTCCTCATCCCCCTCTGATGATTGGCTTGGGCGCCTTGTTGTGGCCCTCTAGTAAATAAAATAATAACGATTATGGTTGACTCACAGATACCTTCCCAGTGGAGGCAAAGCCAGAAGGGGTCAATCATTTATTTTCACCCTTTCAAATTTCCTAAAGTTGATAATAGCTGAATAACTCATGACATTATTATATTTTTCATATAAAGTCCTGTGTTGGTCCTGATGAAGCAAGTTTCTGCATATTTTCATAAAATTTTATTTCTTAGCCAATGCGTGGATTCATGAGACACCGAATGCAAAACAACATAAGCAACACGTTTGAAATACTTTTTTCAGACAATAAATAGCAAGAGAATACCAAAATGTCAACAAGACTACTATTAGAACTCAAAATCGGTAAAACTAGGGCAGATTATGAACAAAGGAAAAATTCGATTTGAGAATCTTGAAAAAGAACAAGGAGAACAAGACCAGGTGTTCCAGAAGGGTAAGAGTATTCTGCTTCATCGACAACACCTTCCATGTAAATGTAGGTTAAACCAAGTAGTGCCACATCCTCACATCGAGAACTCGGAAGTGGCAACAAATTCACAAGGCATACTTATGAGCATAATCAAAATCATCGACCTTATTAATATAAGTGTCCACTATTTCTGTTTTGACTTTTATGATATACATGATAAGATGAAATTACATAGATAAAATACATAAATTAGAAATAATTTCATTCGCTAAAAATACCTCATTCTTTATAAGATATTCCCATTGTTTACTGTGGGACAATGGCAAATTAAACCGATTCCAATTCTGATCTTAAGAATTTAAGATATTCTGCGATGAACGCAAATGTTTTCTATCAACTCAGATCGTAATTCCGCGAAATCAATTGATTTAAACAATTTATAACAGCAAAGTGCATTAGAGATATGCACTTGAAAATGGAATAATAATAACTAACGGTAAACCGATCTATTACTGCAGTTCCGAGATAGACAAATCAATAAGAAATAGTTTACTGGTGTCGATTTCACGTACCATTAATGCACTTCTGACTGCATAGACAAATCAGTAAGAAATCGTTTACTGGTATCGATTTCACGTACCATTATAATGCACTTCTGACTGGATAGACAAATCAATAAGAAATAGTTTACTGGTGTCGATTTCACGTACCATCAATGCACTTCTGACTGCATAGACAAATCAATAAGAAATAGTTTACTGGTGTCGATTTCACGTACCATTAATGCACTTCTGACTGCATAGACAAATCAATAAAAAATAGTTTACTGGTGTCGATTTTACGTACCATCAATGCACTTCTGACTGCATAGACAATTCAATAATAAATAGTTTACTGGTGTCGATTTCACGTACCATTATAATGCACTTCTGACTGCACAACCAAATCAATAAGAAATCGTTTACTGGTGTCAATTTCACGTACCATTAAGACACTTCTGACTGCATAGACAAATCATTAAGAAATAGTTTACTGGTGTCGATTTCACGTACCATCAATGCACTTCTGACTGCATAGAAAAATCAATAATAAATAGTTTACCGGTGTCGATTTCACGTACGATTAATGCACTTCTGACTGCATAGACAAATCAATAAGAAATAGTTTACTGGTATCGATTTCACGTACCATTATAATGCACTTCTGACTGCATAGACACATCAATAATAAATAGTTTACTGGTGTCGATTTCACCTACCATTGATGCACTTCTCACTGCCAGAAGTCTACTAAGGAACGCCCATCCACCGTGAGCCTCGCTCTCCTCGTGGTCGTTGTTTACATCTTCGGGGCCGCACGCGCCCTCACTCGTCACGTGATTAGATGACAAGGGGTCTCCATCACATTCCCCGACACCTGTGTCGAAAAGAATAAATCCATTATTAAATATTTTGTTGATTGAAAATTTTACTGCAAAACAATAGTGATATCAATGTAAGATTTTAACATAAAAAAAAACTTCAATGAAAGAGAGATATTTCTGACTGCATAGACAAATCAATAATAAATAGTTTACTGGTGCCGATTTCACGTACCATTATAATGCACCTCTGACTGCACAGACAAATCAATAAAAAATAGTTTACTGGTGTCGATTTCACCTACCATTAATGAACTTCTCACTGCCAGAAGTCTACTAAGGAACGCCCATCCACCGTGAGCCTCGCTCTCCTCGTGGTCGTTGTTTACATCTTCGGGGCCGCACGCGCCCTCACTCGTCACGTGATTAGATGACAAGGGGTCTCCATCACATTCCCCGACACCTGTGTCGAAAAGAATAAATCCATTATTAAATATTTTGTTGATTGAAAATTTTACTGCAAAACAATAGTGATATCAATGTAAGATTTTAACATAAAAAAAAACTTCAATGAAAGAGAGATATTTCTGACTGCATAGACAAATCAATAAGAAATAGTCTACTGGTGTCGATTTCACGTACCATTAATGCGCTTCTGACTGCATATACAAATCAATAATAAATAGTTTACTGTTGTCGATTTCACGTACCATTATAATGCACCTCTGACTGCACAGACAAATCAATAAGAAAGAGTTTACTGCTGTCGATTTCACGTACCATTAATGCGCTTCTGACTGCATAGACAAATCAACAATAATAGTTTACTGGTGTCAATTTCACGTACCATTAATGCACTTCTGACTGCATAGACAAATCAATAAAAAATAGTTTACTGGTGTCGATTTCACGGACCATTATAATGCACTTCTGACTGCACAGACAAATCAATAAGAAATGGTTTACTGGTGTCGATTTCACCTACCATTGATGCACTTCTCACTGCCAGAAGTCTACTAAGGAACGCCCATCCACCGTGAGCCTCGCTCTCCTCGTGGTCGTTGTTTACATCTTCGGGGCCGCACGCGCCCTCACTCGTCACGTGATTAGATGACAAGGGGTCTCCATCACATTCCCCGACACCTGTGTCGAAAAGAATAAATCCATTATTAAATATTTTGTTGATTGAAAATTTTACTGCAAAACAATAGTGATATCAATGTAAGATTTTAACATAAAAAAAAACTTCAATGAAAGAGAGATATTTCTGACTGCATAGACAAATCAATAATAATAGTTTACTGGTGTCAATTTCACGTACCATTAAGACACTTCTGACTGCATAGACAAATCATTAAGAAATAGTTTACTGGTGTCGATTTCACGTACCATTATAATGCACTTCTTACTTCATAGACAAATCAATAAGAAATAGTTTAATGATGTCAATTTCATGTACCATTAATGCACTTCTCACTGCATATACAAATCAATAAGAAATCGTTTACTGGTATCGATTTCACGTACCATTATAATGCACCTCTGACTGCACAGACAAATCAATAAAAAATAGTTTACTGGTGTCGATTTCACCTACCATTGATGCACTTCTCACTGCCAGAAGTCTACTAAGGAACGCCCATCCACCGTGAGCCTCGCTCTCCTCGTGGTCGTTGTTTACATCTTCGGGGCCGCACGCGCCCTCACTCGTCACGTGATTAGATGACAAGGGGTCTCCATCACATTCCCCGACACCTGTGTCGAAAAGAATAAATCCATTATTAAATATTTTGTTGATTGAAAATTTTACTGCAAAACAATAGTGATATCAATGTAAGATTTTAACATAAAAAAAAACTTCAATGAAAGAGAGATATTTCTGACTGCATAGACAAATCAATAAGCAATAGTTTAATGGTGTCAATTTCATGTACCATTAATGCTCTTCTGACTGCATAGACAAATCAATAAAAAATAGTTTACTCGTGTCGATTTCACGTACCATTATAATGCACTTCTGATTGCATAGGCAAATCAATAATAAATAGTTTACTGGTGTCGATTTCACGTACCATTAATGCGCTTCTGACTGCATATACAAATCAATAAGAAATCGTTTACTGGTGTCAATTTCACGTACCATTAAAGCACTTCTGACTGCATAGACAAATCATTAAGAAATAGTTTACTGGTGTCGATTTCACCTACCATTAATGCACTTCTCACTGCCAGAAGTCTACTAAGGAACGCCCATCCACCGTGAGCCTCGCTCTCCTCGTGGTCGTTGTTTACATCTTCGGGGCCGCACGCGCCCTCACTCGTCACGTGACTAGATGACAAGGGGTCCCCTGCACATGCCCCGACACCTGTGTCGAAAAGAATAAATCCATTATTAAATATTTTGTTGATTGAAAATTTTACTGCAAAACAATAGTGATATCAATGTAAGATTTTAACATAAAAAAAAACTTCAATGAAAGAGAGATATCAGTGTAAGAAATGACATGGAAATAGTATTATTACATGCAGAATAGAGGTACGGTAATTGTGCTACCTACACACGTTGCTATTTGTATTTGTGTTTGGAAACATAAATAGCATTTTTCTTAGTGAAAATATGCACGGTAAAGGAAGCCTCCTTTACTTATCACTTAATTGTTTCCATAAAATGATTTACACTGTCATCTATCTTTAAAAGAAACCTTTCCCAAAGGTTCATTTGTGTGCGTGCTCCGGGGGGGGGGGGGGGGGGGGAAACACGCTGTTTACATGATACGCCGGGATTAGTTAAACTACACACACACATACATATGTAGATGTTCTTTGGTTCCGCATGTGGATTACAAATTATGAAATGTTATAAACATTTCCGTTTAGTTACATTTTATTTAAACGCAAATGGTTACCAACCATAGATGAATTTTTGTAATCGGTTTTATTTTTCGATGAATAATATATAAGTAATAAGAGAAACTTAAGGGGAAATTTTGAAAATAGAAATGATTTTCCCCGGTAAATCTTAAAAATGATGGACAAGATAGAATAAAATAGTTTTATCGTAAACGCTACCTAGAAGCTAGAAACCAAGCAAGTATAGGAAAATAATCACAATTCTGTAGTTAACGAAGGAAGAGGTTGACTGTTTAAGTAGTGTTCCATTTTCGGCAATCAAGCAAGTATTAGAAAAGTACCAATTCCACAGTAAATGAATAAGATGTTGAATGTTGGCATTGGTGTTCCCTTTTCGTTTCAAGCCGATTCTCCTATAAAGGGCAAGCGAGCAAGTGTATGAAAAATACCAATTCCTAAGTAAATGGACAACAGGTTGAGTGTTGGCGGAAGTGTTCCAATTTTAGGTTCAAGCGGCTTGCCCCTGCGTGGGGAGCTATCTGATCACTGACGATCGACCCAGAATATATCTGTTCTACTTTCGTGTCTCGATGGACGACATTGCTATTCATACGATGATACGGTCATATTGGCATGATTTTCTCTTCAATTATTAATCTATATTCGAGCAAAGGACGTCATTAATGGAGATATACATCAGCAGAGAATCCTATTTTGACAAGGTAATTGGAATCGCTTCGGAATTGCACGTTTTTTATGTTAGAATTAATGGATAATGCTTAAATACCACACAATATCCGGTATTCTTTTTCCAGATTTTGTCGCTGTTATTGCAGTGGGTTTTTTTGATTGAGGACAATACGAATCACTACAACTTTTTCCCCGAGTTAGAATTCATGTCTAGACTGCAATAACGCTGGAGAATAGGTTACGACAATGAGTGAATAGTTTATCCAATCTTAAAGCGGACATCCTTTTAATGACCATTACAGAACTTATCACAGAGTACATATCCTCAAGGCGAAAAGAAATGAGCCCAAACCTTGTTTCCTGTCGTCTGAACCTTTCCTTGCTCCAGAATGGCTATCAGCATTCCTTACATCTTCGTCGTCATCAATCCATGTCTCTTGAAATCGGACAGCTTCCGGTTTTTCCGCTGAGTTTGTTATCTGCTAAAGATATATGCAAATGATCAGTTATTGACTAACATCTCTTACAGACCTCATTGATAGATTTTCAGGAAAATGTTGAAGAAGTAGAGTAGAAGAAGCGTCTGCATCAATACTAGAGTAACTATTAATGTGACGGACCGTAGCCGACGTATTCCATCCTCAGACGGTTCCTCATGTGTATGATATGTCTGGAATTAATAAAAAAATAAAAATAAAAAATAAAAATACCAGAATGACTGGGTTGAAAAAGAATACGGTATTATTTGTTCATAGTATACTCTAATATATTAATAAATCCTTAAATTGATTGCCAAATCATTATTTGTTAGTAAAATAAATTATATTTACTTGAAAGAGCATCTTACTATGCAGAGTAGTATATAAAAAGTATAGGCACCCATGATGATTCCTAGTTACCCATCCTCAAATCATAACCCCCTTTTATTGAACAATATATTTACAGTATATACATATCTATCTCAATATTGATAATTTTGCGTTGATATTTGTTTGTTAAAATGACAATATGCGTTCATTTCCTTTGGAAATACTCTATGTCTATTTACTTACATCACAAAATCAATTCTATAGTTTATAATTCCGTATAGCTTCTTAATTTTGCTAAGTTGTTGGAGCACCGGAAGCAATATTCATGTCTTCGACTAATCATTTCTTTTCGACTGATTCATAAGCCAAAGATGAGGTTTTCTGTGTGAATAGCATTCTGTTGCTTTTGCGAAGCTCTACAGGGGATTGTACTGAAATTGTTTACACTTGAACATCGTTCTACCTTAACTAATTCTAACTCGTGTTTTCATGCTAAATACATTTTTCAAACCCTTACATTTTTCACCATACAGTTTCAGTCTATTGACAGAAACCTTGAACCACTTTTTCTATATTTTGATCATGTCTTTCCACTAATTAGCAAGCATATGTTGTATGTGCCTGCTGGGAGAAAGACATGCTATACCGCCGTGGCATGGCCACCATCAAAATGTCAAATAAATCATGATAAGTTAACGTACATCAGGAATCGATCATCGGTACTCTAAAGACTGCAAAACCCCCAGACACAAGTTAGAATAAGGTAGATATAGTAGAGAATAACAATCTACTCTAGGGGTACTCTTACGAGATAACACAATAAATAATTCAGCGCGGTCTTAATCAGTCATCTTGTAAGCATTATGCTCAACGCGCCATATTTTTCTTTGCCTCCCGAGACATGGGTATGATTTCCGTCTGTGTCCAATATTCATCAGACACTTGAACCGGTTTTTGCTCTAGTAAATGCAGACGGACAGCAATTGTATGTTCTATTATTATTCCTCATCCGATGATGGTGTGGTTTGCTATGTCATTTATTTGACAATATTTACGATAAGTGAGAATTAAGACATTTTTAACAAATTAAAGACAAATGAAAGATTTGTAGGAACTGTTATATTATATTTCTTTAAAGAACTACCCGATTTTTATAATGTTTGTTGACTGGTTATATTTAATAGCCAATAAGTCTGGTTTGTTTATGATATGAATTGCCATTCACGAGAAGATGTTTAAAATATTTTGGTGTATTATCTTTATGAGCTAATAAGTCAGGCTAGGTTTGTTTATCATACGAATTGCCATTCACGAGAAGACGTTGAAAACGTTCTGGTTGCTATCTTGAATTTCAAGAACGTTGTCAATTTGTATTCAGGACCACGCACCAATTATTCTTTACTACTGAGAGGTCATATAATATGCTTTAACTTGAACAGGTTTCAATGAAAGGGCACGGCATTAAGTTTGGATACAATGATAAATATTGTCCAGGGCAAGGAAGGACGCATTTCTACCGATGACTGAACTGAACAGTAAATGATGAGAATCTCAACTCATCATATACAATAGATAGAGCGTTCATGCAAACATTTATATTTATTAAGGCTTACATTAAGAATAAAAAGTGTAAATATGGACATCCAGGGTTTCAAATATAGTTTTTTAATTTAAGTATCGTGTATCCTAGATTTTCCTGTTAACTGTGATTATCAGTAAAGGTATGCCTTTAAGTATCATGTTCACGATATGATTTCGAATTTAAAACGGAAAAGTATCTAGCAAGATATTCAGAAGAAAAAAAATCCGTAAAAGTGTAGAAGTTATCAACACATAAATTTCTTGCAAACGTGTCTAAATGCAACTGAATTTAGGATGTCGATTTCTAATTATCTCCGGATATTTTTAGTCAGTAACATGTCCCTTATTTATAGAAACGATAAACTTTAAAACATGAACACACATGACAGCACGGGTTTAATTCGGTTATGTTGAGGTTATATTCCTTATATTCGGCTTTTGACTGTTTCTTGAATTGCGACATTTGTTGCTTTTACAAGCATCACCATCTTGTTGAATTAGTACCACTAACATCTGTACATAGAGCTCTTATCTAGGTTCAGATCATTCAACTTGTGCTTCTCCATTGGAAAATTGATAGTTTTGTCTGCATCATTGACCTACTGCCCATATTTCAACTATTGCTATTTCAACCTTTGCCATTCCTGTCTTCACGTTCGAAAGTGTCTCTGTAAAGGTCTTTTTCAAAATGATGTATCCCAGCAGCTTTTGTGGTTTCTGTGACGAAGTTGTCAGTGTGTGGGTACTCCGAAATTACCTTTATCACTTGTCATATCTTTGATGGAGGTCATCGCTGTTTGACCTTTGCTGAAGCAAAATCCCAAACAAGTCAACAAAATATACTCAAGGAGAAACAACCTATAAACAATAAAGGCGGGTTCATGATACACCATTAAAGTAGACAGCGCCGGATTAATCCATATGTCATCCATAGTTTCATATACCGCCATGTGACGGACGAACTGAATGGGAAACCTGTGCTCAGCAAAATCTCTGAAGGTTAATCAATGTCGGGCGCATGTAAATGGCCGTACAGCGAGGAAACGGTCCCTGTGGTCTTACTGCTCTGTGTTTATTGCTTCTTTTTATCACAGACGAACATTGTCGAGTATTTCACAACATGTATCATACAAAGGTCAGAGGCTTGAGGCTGGTTTTCAAAAGATCAATTACATGTAATGAAGGTTTGCCAGCGAGCAGTTCTTGTTCCAAGACTGTATGTTGACTTTTCTACGGAATTTATATGCACCAAATCTAAAGCTTTATAACTTTTTACACTCAGAACATAATTGTTAACTATATTTTGTTTATTTCATCTTTGATCAAATGCTTTATCAAAGGTATAGTTATACTAGGAAAAACAGCATCCTATGCGTAGCTACACTTGTTTGCAGTGGTGCGAGGATCCTTAACAGAAGCTATAGTAGACTTCATCAGGGGAATAGGAACTTGATGCTGGATCTTATTTTCATAATCCTTTTTTAATTATTAATATTTCACTTATCAACATTCATTACGTCATTTTTTTATTTTACGAGGTGCATGTCTTCTTCACTTAAATTCGCTATAATATTTATAAACAATGGTTCGTTAAGCACTTTTCGAACATCAATTCAGATACATTTTGAAATAAAACATCAGGAAAATTGTTGACTGTCGATTTGAAATCCTGTCAGTCTTTTTTAAAACACAATTCCAATAATAAGTGTTTCTAGAAATTGCGTGGGCTTCGTTCATAATACTGAGCAGTAGGCAACATCCGACGATGCATTTATTTTATTTTATTTTCTAAAACCCTTCGATGACATTTTCTTCTGACTTTTCAGATATAATGAGTTTGCACAGCAGTGTTGATTTACAAAACAACTAACATCAATTGGAACGGGACAAAAAGCTTATGCCTGTATTCCTCATTGAGTTAATTTCCTTTGATGAAGACCGAATCAATAAGCAGTAACGCGATAATTGTATACTGGCGCACTTTCGGAACCTGAGTGTCAATCGAACCGCGTTAATCTAACCACCACTAATCCGGTCGTCCCGCAACCAAGCCAGTGGTATAGGGGACAGATTGGCCATCTTCCATACAAAATTTCAAAGTAATCCACCTGTTTTACAATCAAGAAAATGCAGCCTGAAGTGATTCTCTCGAAGCATTTTCTAAGGTTGGTAAATACATATTTTATACGGGTTCATATTGCACAGCCAGTTAGATGTTAATTTGTGCCATTTCAAAGATTTTCGTACGATATGTACCCTGTCATCGTCGTCGGAGAAATGTTTACATCAAAGCCTATACTCACTCAACAATGTACGGGTTGGCAATCAAACTGACAAGTCGATTCGGCTTTGTTAAAATGTATGGACACTTTGGTGTTAGCATAGTACGAGATGACAATCAAATCAGAAAGTCGATTCGGAAACTCTTTGTTTGGTTTTTGGAAGTAGATTTACGATAATTGATATGTTGTGTACATGAGCTTTCAATGTATTCCAATCATATTGACTATTGTCATCAGTTAGACTTATATATGGAAGCACATATATGCAGAAAAACGTAGAAACGTATGCATGTACCAACACTGGGATCAAGATGCTTTCTATTTATCTATACTGAATTCACTTAATGCGAGGTCTTTTTTACCGAGTGTTTTCAGTATAGGAACTTATATCAATTAATGTACATTCAAACCTTGATATAATGTCACTTCCTTCGTCTACCGCCAACATATTCCAATGTCACCTTTTGCTGTTTTTTAACATTTGATTATCGATGTATCGACAACCCTTAAGGTCCTAATTTGGCTGGTCAATGGTTTGCAGTATAACGAGCTTTTACGGGAACAAAATAGAATACTGAAGTATTAACAAAACCATATTTTGAAAAAACATCGATAAAAATATGGCAATATATGAACAAAGGAACAATTTACATGGAGACCCTTGCAAAAATACAAGGACCATAAGACAAGGTGTTCAGAAAGTTAGGTCACGTTCTTACATCGAAAAGTCGAGTAGTGACCTCAAAATTTACATGGAGACCCTTGCAAAAATACAAGGACCATAAGACAAGGTGTTCAGAAAGTTAGGTC